AAAAAAAAAAAAAAAAAACAGCAACAGCAGCAACAATGAGAATGAAAACAATAGTAGGGCTGATAGAAAGGTGTGGAGGAAAAACAACAAAAAAAAAAAAACAAAATTATAGTCTTATTTGTCCATGAAAAGAAAACGATACTTCTCGTTATGCTATTTCTCTTATATATATATATATATGTGTATGTGTGTATGTGTAGAGAGAGAAAGAGAGGGTCTCTCTTCATGATATTTTATGCAATCCTTCTTTGTTTCTTTTTTTTTTTTCTCTTTTCTTGTTCCTCTTACACACCCACACACCTTCTGCGCTAGACAATGCAGTTTTAGCCCCTTTTTTTTTATGGCTTCCCTTCGTCTTTTCATTTTTTTTTATTTATATCTTTTTTTTATTATTTATTTTCTTCCCTCACTTTGGTGCTATCTACTTGTATGCTCAATTATGCACGCTACTGTTTTAACCCACTCTTTTATCTTGTCTTTCTATATATATATATATAGAAAGACAAGATTTTTTGTGTATATCCTTCACATATATATATATTTATTTATGTGTGATTAATCTTTCTACCACACATATCAATGTATTATTTTTTTTTTCTTTTATTTTCTCTTTCTTTTATTTTTTTCTATTCCATTTAAAAGGTTTGTATGATCTGTAGAGTCTGAAAAGATACATATACATATATATACATAGAAAGAGATAAAGAGAGAGAAAGAAAAATGCTTAGGAGTCATTGTACCAATGATGATCCTCCTCTCTCTGTGGATGTGAACAGTGATGATGAATGTGTGGATTTATCTTCAGAGACGTCTTCCTTCACCCGCCGGCCACTACGCACACTTGGATGGGATTTGATACTCGCAGAGGAACATTCCGCACAGACCAATACTCTTAATAATAATATTAATAATAATAATAATAATAATAATAATAATAATAATAATAATAATAATAATGACAAGGGGAATAGTATGAGTGAGGGAAGGAGAAGTGAGAGTAATAATAGGGATACGGCTATTATCCATACAAGAGAAACAACAGGAATGAGATTAGACATACCCATACAGAATAGAGATATATCTTCTGTCAATCCACATATTATGTATACACCTACCAAAGCCATACCAACAACAATAATAAGAGGAAGAGAGAAAGAGATTATTCCACCACTACAGACATTAGAAGATATTCCACCAGCATGGACGATGCCAACATTCAAAAGAGATAATACTATTAATAATAATAATAATAATAATAATAATAATAATAATAATATTAACAGTATGACTAATGACAATAAGAAGAATAACTGGAATGTGGGATTGCCGGGTGGAGAGTTATTTCGACTGCAAGAGATATTCCCTCTTCTTGGCAGTCAACGTCCATCCCATGAAAGTTCACTAACAACTCCAACTCCAATAATAATAAATAGAAAAGAAAGAAAAGGAAAAGGAATTCCAGCAGAGACGATGAAGTTTGGGCCGTTTAATCAACAGGAGCCAACAGAGAAGATCTCCACAGTTCCTCTGCGGGAGTCCACACCACTCATCTCAACAAGTGTGGGGGGCCCATGGGTGAAGAAGGCGACTCTGCAGGAAAATGCGGTGGAGGTGTTTTCATGGGAAGGTATCATTCAAGCATCTCAAACAGGAAATATAGAAGAAGAAGAAAAGGAAAAAGAAGAAAAGGAAGAAAAGAAAAAAGATGTACACAATAGAATGAGAGAAAGATCTCCTCAACCTTTTTTTTCACAACAACAAGAACAAGAACAGAAGCCAAAGAAGGATCTGTATAGGAATGAATCACTACATTCTACAATGGGAGGAGTCATTAAATATCGATCAAATGATAATAATAATAATAATAATAATAATAATAATAATAATAATAATAATAAAATACAAATTCCATCATCACCTCCACGAGAAGATATGGAAGCCACAGTTCATGCCGTGAAAGTAATGCAGCGTACGGCAGATGAACTCGCACATCGTGTACTTATGGCTGAACGTGAACTTGCGGATGAATACATAGAGTCTACTACACTGCGTGAGGATCTCATGTCTAGCTTAACAACAGCAGAGTCTCTCCTGCAAGAGAAGATGAAGACTCTGCGCAAACTTCGACTTGAAAATGAAAGACTTCGAAAACTTCTGGGAGATTAAATAAATAAATAAATATATATATATATTATATATTTAGATGTATAGGGGTTTACCTGTAAGCAAATAAGAACTACCCGTATAGATGATAGTGACTTTTCTTTTATTATTATTATTATTATTATTATTATTATTTTCTTCTTTACAGCCCTATCCACACAACCCCAATACTTTCCCTCCACAAGTGGGGGGATCTGAAGAGGGAAGGGACTGTGGAATCTGCCACTTCGTAACTCTTGCCGGATGATCCATCTGATAGACTAGAGAGTCTAATGTATACTTTGTTTTTCCCTTTTCTTTTTGATTTATGGAATGAGAAGAGGTGCGAGGCAATTCAAACTACATAGAAGTTTTTTTTTCTTTTTATCGTTTATTTCTGTTTTATTTTTTATTTTTTCATGTGGGTTGACCAAAGTAGGGGATCATATTTTATATTTATTTCTTCCTTCTCTTGTATTTAAGCCATGGAGTATATATATATATATATACTTCTTGCCTTTATTTATTTCTTTATATATATTCTCTTCTTTTTTTTTGTTTTTGTTTCTCTCTATTATTATTATTATACCTGTATGGTGTAGGTGTGTGTATGAGTTTAAAGTATCTCTCACACCGCAGCCTTGCACGAGTGCGTCGCCGTCTTTACAACTCCCAATATGTATTTAACCTGCGACTCGCTGCTGTGTTGATAATCCTCACACTTATCAACATCTCAGTCCTTTACAGTAGAACCCATCACACCTCACCAGAGGCGCTGCCTGTACAGAAAGCCGACCATAATAATAATAATAATAATAATAATAATAATGAGCCTGAGGGTGATGACCGTATTATATCTCCCGCTGTACAGAAAGAAGAAAGAAAAAGAGAAGAGGAAAAAGAAGAAGAAGAAATACATACAAATATGGAGTTGAGAACACCACACGAACAGCAGAAAGAAGTAGATATGCATGAACCCCAACGGGGAACAATATTATTATCTTCATCGTTATCATCATCATCATCATCACTACCACTATTGTTAAGACGTCGCTTTGACACCTTTTCCCACACAACACCCACACTTAGTTTATTTCCTGGTGGATTCTCCAACAGCACATGGAAAGAGGCATGTGAACAATATACGGAACTACTGCAGTACTCTGTGGGAGATGTCCTGCAGGGATCCAAATCTTTTAAAGATATTCACACTTATAAACATCATGGAGTCCTTTTACCTAATCTTACTAGTAATAACGATAGAAGAGATCATGCATGGATCCCAGGAGCTTTACCACAACCCACAGAAGAATTAATGGAGTTTTATAAACAAGAAATGCAACTGGCGGAGTATGATGTGATGGTGTTAAATACACTACGGCATAATATGGGAAGTGTAGAGTTCTGCGATCCCACAGATGCGGATTACACACCTAGTAAAGATACCGCGTGTTTGGCATATCTTAACAATCCAGCTAATTGGATGGCTTTAAAGCCCATGTCTAGTATACTCTCAACAGGACGAACTATTAAGTTTTTACTCTCACTTCGTCATAATAATATAACGGCTGTGGTGAAATTATCTCAAACACGATTTCTGTTGGAGCCCGTAAGTGAAGTGGTGGCATTTCATATGGATCGTGTTCTTGGATTTCGCCGTGTACCGCCCACAGCGTGGGTACAGATTCCTGTAGATTACATTAAAGCCGCTGCAGCCACACTTGGTCCTTTTTATGTACATTGGGTAGAAGAAGCCGTACTTTCAACACGGTATGGTAAAGCTATTACATCTCATTGTAAAGATAATCGATTAGCGGCAGTAATGAATATTGAAAACCCCAAGTGTATATTAGCATCTGTACAGTTATGGATGTGGGATGTGGATAATATAGAGAGTTCAGCTTTTGTAGACTTTGTAGAACATTTACCCGCTCTCCGTAGACTTGAAGAGGTGGATCCCAACAACAACAACAACAACAACAAGAAGAAGAAAAACAGCAATCATGATGATAATACGAATAATAATAATAATAATAATAATAATAATAATAATAATAATCAGGATGAGGTTAAGGATGCTGAAGAGATATTTGAAAAGAAGGATCACACGGGTGAAGAAGACGGAGAAGAAGAAGAAAAAATAATGATAAATCATCCTTCCACAGAAGAAACACACATGTCAGCAGCGGCTATGCGAGATTTGACTGCACGTGAACAATGGGATCAATTAGCATTTGATACAATCATTGGAAATGCAGACCGGTGGGTGGGGCACAATACATTTGTACTCGCCGCATGTGAACCCAGATTTTCTTGTCAAACCGCCCGTTTAACTTCACGGAAGTACGAACCACGATCAAAAAGTAAAAGACGATTTATTTACATTGATCAAGGAAGTGCCTTTTATAGACACGGTTTACATAGTGGTAGTGTATTTGCAGAGAACCGGAAAACACCATATTGTCGTTTCCATCGACGGACTATGGAACGTTTAGAGCGGATTACACTCTTTGCCTTTGGATCCAGAGATTTAAATAATAATAATAATAATAATAATAATAATAATAATAATAATAATAATATTTCTGCAGAGATGCCTATGATTGCCCGTGAGATATTAGGAGAAACAGCAGCGGTAGAGGCCAAACGTGTGGAAACCGCTATTTATAAACATCTTCTTCAACCACGATTACCGGCGAAGTTGGGGATTATTATGCCGCATACCTTAATTAAAAGAGCGTGTAGACGTGTGTGGTATATTCTCGCACATCGTACACGGTGTCTTGAAAGTAGCGAAACGGATATATTTTTCTGATGAGAGAGAGAGAGAGAGAGAGAGAGAGAGAGAGAGAGAACTCTTTTTTTTTTTTTCCTTTTCTTCTTCTTTTTCTTCCTTCTGTATTCTTCCTTTTATTATTTCTGTATTGTTGTTATTATTATTATTTTTATTATTATTGTTTTCTTTCGAACGGTTTCATGTATATTTGGCTGCCTGTGCTAATGGTGGCATTGTGGAAGCCTATATCGACTACAGTTGTGGTGAAATCTCTCTTATTGTTAGTTGCCAATGTTTTTCTCTTTTCTCTTTTTCTTTTCTTTCTGTTTCTATTTATTTATTTTCTTTTTTTTTTTCTTTGTTTGTACTGTTCTTCTTCTAATCCTTTTCCTTTTCCTTTTTTCTGATTTCTCTCTCTTTTTTTGTTTTTTTCTACTTTCTGTATTCTGACTATTTCTACGGTGAAAGGGAAAAGAAATTAGTCAAAAAATAAAAAGAAAAAGAAGACTAACAAACAAACAAAAGAAAGAAAGAAACATCGTAGAGGTGTTGAAGTTTATATATATATATATATATATATAGAGAGAGAGAGAGAGAGAGAGAGAGAGATAAAAAAAGAAAAACTCCATGTGTGAAGAAGAAGAGAGTTACAACTCTTTCACTGCAGAAGAGAACACCCATCATTGGATGAACCACACCAAACGATATGATGAAACTCCTAAAAAACAAAAACAACAATACACTGTAAATAATATAGAGAGAAATGAAAACAGCAACATCAACAACAATAGCAGAAGTTCAATAGAGAAGAATGCGGAATGTGAACGACAAGCAAAGGGAGAAGGATTAGGAAGAAATGGAATTGTAAATGTACCCTTTTCGAAATATGTAACCATGGCATTACAGCAAGAGTATTCACAAGAGAAAACCAAAGAAGAAAAGGAAGAAGAAAAGGGAAAAGAAGAATATGATAATGAAGACATTGAAGAGAAATATAAACAGGATGCTTTTACAAGAAAGTTTCTTCGTCTACGTGAGAAATCCGCTTTACAAAAGATTATTAACGAAATCCGTTCACTTATGCAAACCTGCCGCCTACCACCTATGGATATTACTGCTATTGAGAAATATATTCTTAAAGTGGTAGAGAAGGGCCGACCAAAGACGGATATTCAAACAAACACAACAACTCCAATAAGAGGAACAACAGGAAAACACTATTATATGAATTCTCCCACTCCACATTTTCCACAATCCCCAAGTGTGGTTTTAACAAACAAAGAAAAAGAGGAATCTGTACAGAAAACGTTGGAAACTCCTTTAACGGGGATAAAGAAAGTCCCACTCTTTACTGGTGGTATGTCTAAACAACATGTAGAGAATAATAATAATAATAATAATAATAATAATAATAACAGGAGTAGCAGTGCTGCTAATCCTATGGACAATAGCACTCCTATTGCCACTTCCTCAGCAGGTGGTAGATCACATTCTGTGAGTGTATTCAGTACACAATCAAGACACGCTGCATGGTATGTCTCTGCCTACAAGGATACAATGGACGATATCAAAGAAGAAAACGAAAAAGAAAAAGAAGAAAAAGAAAAGAAAAGTGTTAATAATGAAGGAATTCATAATTTAAGTGCGGATAGAGATGAAATCTATACAGTACCCCGTTCTCATAGTGGCAATAGAAAGAAGAGTAAGAGATCTAGCAGATCTACATCCAAATCATCCACAAGGGGTCAGTCAAGAAAAACGATGAGTAGAGAAAATAATGGGAGTTTTAGAGGAGTTTCCACTACACAATTGTTTGATATGGCGGTAGCGGATATGATGGAATTACGTCATATTTTACGAGAACACAAAACGGCAACTTTTCTTGTATTAACTGCTATTGATAAGAGAGAAACCATTATGTCAAGGTTACGTTCTTTTCTATCTCTAGCTGCAGTGGATTTTGCTTTTACTGGGATGCCAAACCGCAGTAGTAATAAAAGAGATAATAATAATAATAATAATAATAATAATAATAATAATAATAATAATATACATAATGGTAATAGTAATGATCAGAACCAAGTGCTTACGGGTGTGAAGGAAACAAGAACATCATCATCAGAAAGTAGTTTACTTGAGGGGTGGTCGAGGCCAATAGTACCAAATAGTAATAACAAAGGGCCACGACCTCGCATTCTCACATCTGTGCGAATTTTGGAATCACCATTGAAATCAAATATACGAGTGAAACACCGTATTTACTATAGAAATGGTGTACTGTATTTACTAAAGCAACTACAACGGGTATCTGTTGCAGTAGTGAAATCTATTGTAGCTTGGCGTAGTCTTCTTAGTGGTAATTATCCATTTGTGGTGAATGGTCGTAATTATTTACTTGAAATGGCAAAGGAGATGGCAAACCTTGCGGAGAATCCTGTATTACTAGCGTTATTTCCAACCTCTAATAGTAGAGGAGGAAACTTATATAACTCAGAAGAAGAAAGAAATAATAATAATAATAATAATGACTTTGATGCCCTATTACAGGAAAGACTCACCTTCCCTGCAAGCCTGCAGTACCACCCATTATTAACGAATATGACAGAACTATTTGAACGAAGTAAGTCACCACAACCACCAAAATGGATAAGAAGAAACGAAAAAAGAATGTACGATCCTATGCATTTTAATTTTTTTGATAATGTAAATGATAATAACGTTTATATTTTTGATCAATACGACCTTGATGCTATTCTTAATAATGGCAATGATAATGATAATAGTAGTAATAATCATCATAATAAAAACAATAAAAACTATGATGGTGGTATGGATGAAAATGATAATGTCAGTAGATTAACAAATATTAGAGGGCGAAAGATATTAACACCAGCATTAGGACGTTTACATTCACGGCGCAGTAAAAGAGTTCCCCAAGATATGATGGACATTGGCCAATTATTAGATGCAGAGATGATTATTCACCGTGAAGTGAAAGCGCAGATGCAATTACTGCGACGACACTTCCGTGCCTGTGCGGCTGGGCGATATCCATTGTTGCTGCGCGGTGTGTGTTGTTTGGGTGGAGACCGCGAGGGGACAGTGCGGCTGCAGTCTCAACACTTGCAGCGGGTCTGGTATTGGCATCTGCACGATGCCCTCTCTTGTCTACAGGAGGGAAACAGCGCGGTGCGGAAGGACTGAGATATCTCTCTTTCTTTCTTCTCTTTAGAGAGAGAGAGAGAGAAAGAATGGGGAAAGGGTGAATATAAAGGATTTCACTTTTTTTTTCTCTTTTTCGTTCCCTTGAGCAAACCGTATCTGTAATAACAGTACGAACATCAAAAAACATCAAAAACAACAATAACAGGGGTTATTGGAATGATAGTACTATATATAACTAGTACTAGTGGTAGATGGATGAGGTTCTCCTATTGAGAATGCCTTCCCAAGTTGACTGTTTCTTTTTTTTTTTTTTTTTTTTTTTTTTTTTT